AGCTATTATCTGAATATGATTAGTCCATTGAGTAGGCCGCGTCTAGAGCAACTAGCGTCTGCTGCTGTCTGTGGTGGAACGGTGCAACATGTTCAGAAGGTAGGATTTTAAGATATATTCGAGAAATTTATCCTTGTATTCGGTCAGCTTTGCAACATCGTCATTGCGACTAATTACTTTCAGCTTATGGATCAGTTTTTGAACTTCATATCATTGGAAGACGACTTATTTGTACTGCGACGATATAACGACAACAGTCCTTTTTCATTTTATGGTACTTATTCCCTTTTTACAATTTTTATGATTTTAGGTGTACTTTTCTATCTGGGCCGTGCGTTTTTCATTTGCTTTTCGTTGTTCCTTTGCATAACCGTTCAGGTTTCCACTGGTTTTCTTTTTTTTGTAAATATTAGCACACTTCCACTTGATGATTCTTTACTCTCATTTTTTTTGTCGGATTTTGTATATTAGATTTCTTTGGATATATTTCCAGTCCTTAACAAGTTTAAATCACAAAATTACTAATCCTCAAATTTCAAATCACTTCCTCAAAATCTTCATTTACGATACTTCCGATTCGTTTTGGACCTCATGGACGAAGTAACTGAATATGTCGATGGTTGCTTTTCTTTTAGCAATAAGCGATCCTGCAGTGACTCCGCAACAAATGGAAGTTCTCATTGATACTGTTGTTGATGGCTTATTTTCGGTATGTGCGACACTGGGTGTAGTGCCTATTATACGTTGTCTGAAGGATAATGCTGCTGAACAAGTTGCTGTGGTAAGTCAGTTTCTTGATTTGACTTACTGATCTAAACAAATTCGGTTAACTTTGTTTTAGTTGTTCTTATATAACAAATGTTCGTATTGTTTTACATTGCAATTTTTCATTTTATCTGTGAACAATAGTGAAGGCTTCCACCGTGGCACTACCGACTCTTCTACTACATCTTCTGCCATTCCGTTTTTAATATTCAATAGAACTTTGTGATACTTTAAGAAATCGGAAATTTTCATGCATAAAATGATGCTTAGCACTTCAGAACCTATTCTGAATGTCCGTTCTTCCTGGGTGCGGTTCAGTCCTAGTGGGATTATAAGTAGAAGTATTGTAGCAATATTGAACCATTGCGACAATTTCATTATCTTTCAACTATAAGAATATACTGTAACCAAGCGAAAAAGAATGCTACATAAATAAACACGAAACAATTTACATGCTATTGCACAAATACTAAAATGTTTTTCAGCGTTTAGACCAGAAGTTACGTGATAATTTCCGTGATGCTCGTAACAATTTATTTGTACAAGATAGTGTTCGCGCTGGGCGATTGATTATTCATCGGCCTGTTTTAATCATTGCCGATCGTGGCATGGACATTGCAACAATGCTTCGTCATACATGGACTTATCAAGCTCTTATACATGATTTGTTAGTAAGTAGTTCGGAAAATGAATGAACTATTCAGTAACTCTGCGAATCGTTCATTTACTCGACTACGGTAGATTGTAGCCAGTGTTCAAGTTGAAAAGTGAATTTGTAGTATATATACAATTTGAATCATGCTGTTCACCTGAGACCATGAAATATCAACAGTATTTTTACAGGATTTGGATCTGAATCGTGTCATCATTAAAGATAAAACTGGGAGAAGGAAGGAATATGACATGAATTCGCGTGACAAGCTGTGGATGGGGCATAAAGGAAGCGCTTTCCCATTGGTGGCCGAAGCAATACAGGAAGAAGTTGAGGCTTATAAAAATAGCGAAGATGAAATCAAACGTCTGAAGCATGCTATGGTATCAAGTTAATACGTACTCTGTTTTATGTTATTACACATTTTTTTTATTTAGATTCAAGTATTTAGCGATATAATTTATCTGAATTAAGGAGTAGAAAATTATCTGTCAATTTCAACTAGTGAAGAATTGTTTACTTAATATCCAGAGAAAATCACCGTTTATCGGTTTAGTAACATACAGGACAAAGTAGTTCAGTGATTTTTATAGTGAGATTCTTTTGTAAGAATCGATAGATTTATATTCCGCAAGTGTTTATTACGCTCAGGAAATACTCGCACCAAATAATCTAGTAATCAGGGCTTCTAATTAATGTTTATTCCAGGGTATGGATGATTTGGAATCTGACGAAACCGTTAGTTTGTTGAGCGATGCAACAGCTAAATTGACCTCTACAGTTGGCTCGCTTCCGGAACTACTAGAAAAGAAACGTTTAATCGATTTGCATACAACCGTTGCAACCACAATTCTTGATCAGATCAAACAGCGGTAGGAGTTTCATATCTAGAATTTCATATTTTCTCGTCATAGATTTATTAAATCAATTCGGTTTCATTTTATCAATATGAATTTGTAGGTGCATTTCGTTAATTTGCTTCAGGAAGCTTGACGTTCTTTTTGAGGCCGAAGAGAAGATAATGAATGGATTATTGAGCGATGCAAGTGTTATAGAACTGATGCGTCAGTGTAGTGTACACGAGGATACTTTGCGAGTTATGTTGATCAATTATCTTTGTTCCTCTAATACCACTCAGGTAAAGATTGATCTAATTATTTTTGCCTATCACAGAAACGAAGTTTGAAATGGCATCGATTTCATGCGGTTGTTTCAAAATTAATCAGTGATTTATGATTAATTTTCACTAATACCACGAAAGTACCATCCAGGAAGACAGACGGATTAAATGGTGATGATTAGATTTGTTTCGAAAACATCCACACTTTTCTCCGGCTTATAGTCAGGGATCACTGAAGATGCGTTTTGAGTGATTGAATAATTCTGGTAGTGATTTAATCAAATTCATTTGCAGAATGAACTAAGAGAACAGGCTGATTATTTGAAAGAAGTTGGCTTGGATG